CGAATGTTCAGGAACCTGATAAAGCACCAAAACTGTACTGAGGTTTTACACACTTTCATTTTCAAAACATTGACTTCATATACAAGTTTGCATAATGGTTCAAATTTAAACTCTCTATAAAGGCACAATTTAATTTAATTTATTTCAGTATAAAATACAGACTCACAGCACCTGTGAGGTTCCTGTCATGTTTATAATACGCATTTTTTAAAAGTTATTCGTTTGTGGGATGTGGGCGTCGCTGGCTGGCGAGCATTTCTTGCCCATCCCTAGTTGCCCTTGAGAAGGTGGTGGTGAGCTGCCTTCTTGAACCGCTGCTGTCTGTGTGCTGTAGGTAGACCCACAATGCCCTTATGGAGGGAATTCCAGGATTTTGACCCAGTGACATTGAAGCAACGGTGATATAGTTCCAAGTCAAGATTGTGAGTGGCTTGGAGGGGAACGTGAAGGTGGTGGTGTTCCCATATATCTGATGCCCTTGTCCTTCTAGATGCAAGTGGTCATGGTTTTGGAACGTGCTGTCTGAGGATTTTTGGTGAATTTCTGCAATGCATCTTGTAGATTGTACACATGGCTGCTACTGAGTGTCAGTGGTGGAAGGAGTGGATCCTTGTGGATGTAGTGCCAATTAAACAGGCTACTTCATGTCAGAATTCTGTGGTGCATACAACTCCAGGGGTTTTATATGGATTCCAGTGCCCTCAGTGTATGATCTTGGAGTTATCTCCATTTTAAGTCTAAGCCAGTGGTGTCTTCATGGAATATGTTGGATTCCTGCTTCCTAACTCCATCTGTGTTAGCAGACACCGGTGAGGTTCCACAAGCAACTACAATCCTGGACAGACACCCCAAATCTTTAAGCTCCTGGGTGAGGAGGGTTAAACTCTGTCCCCTTCATTATTTACTCACCCTCTTGTTGGTTGCAACATGATTAATTTAAAGAGGATCCCTCCCTTGCTTGTCTCCCAGACCAACTGATTTGTATTTTAAGAGCAGCCAATTTAACCAGACTTTCTTGAGTTCACAAAAGAGTGGGTTTATTAGTTACTAAATGGGAAAAAATTGATAACGTACCACATGTAAACACTGTTTAGAAATTAGAAGTAAATCCAAAAAAAGATGATAGTTAAAAGATGAATGAGTCAGTCTCTTTGGGTGGTTTGTGTTATGGTTGTCGTGTCCAGTCCCTTTAGAATCTGTGAAGCAGCATCATATTTATAATCCTTTCCTTTTCTGCGTCTTCTTCCTTATTCATTCCAGAGTTCCTCAGTCAACCTTTTCTGGTTGAACTACATCCTTGCTGTAGTGAGGACTGTAAAACTACATCCAGGATGACCAGTGCAGCCTGATTAGTGCTCAAAACAGTGGCAGGTAAACTTTCAAACCATACTTTCTTCTTGTTTATAAGTTGAAGTATTCTGCTTTCTTTATAGCTACCAGGCAGTCAGTATCCATATACACATGCACTTTCTGGCTGGATTCACTGCGTAACTGGGAGGTGCCCATTGATGTTTCTTTCCACCCCCAAATAAGGAGCTGGGATGACAAAAATAGTCCCATTAAGTGCTACCCCGACTAAAATAAACGTTTTCAGAGAATCCAAACTGGAATCTTCAGATCCAGATGGTTTAGTGCTAAAACACTTGGTGCCCTGATCCATTAGCCTGACAGGAAAGCTACCTATTTAAATAGTTCCATGCTGTGTTTGTGATATTTCAATCAAAAACATTGGGTTAAATAGACCCCTTCTGTGCTGTAAACTTCTGTTGTTCTGTGGTGTATTTTCTAGCGGGATGCTCTCTCCATCCATTGTTGGCGCACAGTAACAGCAGTGTCAGCAAGATACACTGCAATTTCTAAGGTTTCTTCAACAGTGCCTTATATCTGCTATCCTTGTCATCTGGAAGGATATGCAAAGGAAACTTCTACTTTTCTCCCTTCCACCTCCTCTCCAATCCCCCAGTAACTCACCACCCTGAACTATATAACTATTCAGTGGCTGGGTCACAGTCCTGGAATTCTCTCCTTGCTACACTATGGGTGTACATGTAACACATGGACTGTGGTAGTTCCACAGTGCAGTTCACAAGTACGTTCTCCATGGAAAATAGGAATAGGCAATAAATGTCAGCATTGTCAGTGATACTCAGATCCCAAGAACAGAAAAAATGTTGAAATGAAACCTGGACAGAATGTGCTCCGATCAGTTTCTGTGAGGTATGAGTTGCCCTTAAAACTGTGAATGTACGATGAAGTCTATACTTGTGCTGCTAGGCATTATATGAGCTGATGCACTCAAAGGTCTCTTTTGATTAAAAATATTCCTGCAAGACGACTCAATGAATATTTTTGGAACTTGTGATACATTGAAAGGTTTGTTTTATTCTGCTTTTTGCTGTTAATTTATGAATATCATAGCGATGACAACATTTATATTTTGCTTCCGTCATCAGTTTTTACTCTGTGGCATTGTTATGTGTGAAGGATTTTTCATGTCATTGGCAGTTTGATTTAAGTACTTCTAATGGTTTATCGAGTAAGTGCAGCACAGCTCGGATACTGATCGTAGAGATCAGAACAACCTGTGTTTGTTGAATGGCTGATTTTCATCCATATTTTCAGATTACAAGTGAAATGCTGATATGAATTTACTGCTCCTTCTAGGCCACAGTTTATATTTTGGCTGGCATCTTGAAATAGGCACACAAAATTCCTCTAGGAGCCCTATCATCTATGCCAGTACTGCTTCTGCGATGTCAGTAAGACATTGCTGCAAATTTGAAGCAGCAGCGGATGAAGTCAACCCTTCACACACTATATCCATTTAAACTTGATTCAGAAGTCTTCAAAGGTGCAGTTACAGAATGTTCCAAAATACTTATTAAAAAGGATAAGTCATTTTTAAATAAGCTTTGTGGGGCCAGGAAAAGCATCAATGTGCTTCCTGCCACCCTTCTAAAAACTGATTCCAATCCCCCCCGCCCATGTGTCCAACTTTCCACTTGCCTCTACCAAGAGCATTTCTCTCTTCACCTTAATCCACCTGTTCTGCTAGAGTCCATGGAAAATCAGTGATGTGCACAGAGTGTATGGGGGACTCATTGATGGAATTCAAATGAGGTTCAAACATGAAAATAGTTTGGGTCTTCGACACCTCGTATTGGCAGAGCTTGCTTTGTGATGTGTTGGAAGTGGACATCAGGATCAATTTCTGTTTATATAGAGCTTTCAAGGTAGTAATAACTGTGATACCTAAAGCAATTCAAGGGTGCTACCGGACAAGGTCTGACATACAGTGATTATTTAGGTAGGTGGCTAAAAGCTTGGTTGAATAGCTAGTTTTAAAGTATGTTAGCAAAGAAGAGAAGCATACATGCAGGTTTAAGGAAGGATCTCCAGGGTTTAGGATCTAGGCTGCTGAAGGCACTACTGTCAGAAATCAGGGAAGCCCAAGACCAGAAATTGAGAAACAGTGAGATCCTGGAGAGTTGTAGGACTGGGGAAGGCTACAGAGATAAGATGGTGTGAAGCCATTGAGAGATTTGATTAAGAATCTGGTTTGTGTCAGCTAATCTCAGGGCACTGGAAGGTAGAGAAGATAATGATTCAAGGCTTTTGCTTCTAACTACTACCCTATGACTGTGGAATCGTATGTGTATGCATACCCGACATGGCATGATTGAGTTTGTGATTAGTCGAATACTCTTGGAAACTTTGTTATACTGGCTCAATAAAAAAGTCACTTGGGTGGTGTACCTATTATGAGATCGTAAGAAATGGGAACAGAAGTAGGCCATTTGACCCCTCGAGCCTGCTCTACCATTCAATAGTATCGTGGCTGATCCAACATTCCTCAAGGATAAATTACATGGAAATGAAAGCAAAATACTGTGGATGTTGGAAATCTGAAATAAAAACATAGTCCTAGTGAAACTCAGCAGGTTTGGAAGTATCTCGAGAGAGAGAAGCAGAGTTAACATTTTGAGTCAGCTGTGGCTTACTGGACTGGAAACTTTGACTCTGTTTCTCCTCTACAGATGCTACCAGGCCTGCTGAGTTTCTGTAGCACTTTCTGTAAATAATGAGGAAGGTTGGTTTAAACTAACACATTTTTTGAAGCTATGAGCAAGGTTTGATCCGAAGGGGCTGGAATGCCACTATTGATTTATTTTGCACTATTCATTATATTAATTTCCCATACTATTTTATTTGGGTCAGCTTAGAGTCAGAGAGATCTGTAGCACGGAAAAGGGCCCTTTGGCCCATCCCTTCCAAGCTGGCCAGAAATATCCACCTAATTATTCTAATCCCATTTTCGAGCATTTGGCCCATAGTCTTGTATGCTTCGGCATCACATCTATGTAATGAAGGTTTCTGCCTCTATCACCCTTACGGCATCATAGACTAATACGTGTCTTCCTCCAACATGGGTAGAACTGGGCAAACCAGACGTGACCTGCTTAAACGCTAGTCCTGATAATGAAAACTTTTAAACAATGGAAATAAACTAAAGATGGATCTTGGAACAGGCAATAAACATCATCAGTCTTTCACAATAAGGTACCAATTTGGGGCAAAGAAATGGGTTGTGCAATTTATTTTTAAAAATTGACTAGATGAAAGGTGTACAGGTAGGTCTGAAGTAGCGTTTTGTTGTTGCCCTACTTTGAGTCAGCAACGCACAATGCGGTGTTAGTACAGGAGCCGCTAACCAGCTATGTGCTGCTGCTGTGCCTTGTCCCAGATTACTGCATTGTGTGTGTGTGTGTCTGTGTCTACCCCATTCTGTGTGTATTCCTCCGCCTTGCATGCAAAAGCATCCAATGCGATCAGCTATCCAGCCATCTGCCGGGGAGAGGGAACCGCTTGCTTGAAACCCAGTGAACCGTTAGCCAGAACCGCACAAGCCCCCACCGTATTAACCAGCCCCAGAATATCTCATGCCGGATTATTTCATTGGCAGGGCTCAGGAGTCTAGATGCCGTGACTCGCAGCATCGCTTGCAGCCTTCTCCGATCGGGTGGGGGTTGTGGGGGGGTGAGAGGAGAGAAACGAGAGAGATGTGTGGATTTAAAATCTAATCGCCTTCAGCTTTGTGTACAGGACAGGCTGTTTTCGCCGGATAAAGGTACGTGTGCGACCTCTGAGAAGGTTGTGTGTGGGGGAGGGATGGGTGCAAAATGAAAGGGGCATGTTTAATTATTGCTAGATGCGGTCTCCATTCATCAAAGTGTTGTTGCTATACCCCCCATCCCTGTGATGGTTTGGATGACTAACGCTACAATTGGTGACCAGAGATTTCGAGCGTTTTGGGAAATAGAAATATTTCGATCGTGCACTTAAGGTTCCTTCGTGTTCGGGTTACCTTGCATCTAAACATTAAACCGAGAATATTGTTGCATTTTTTTTGATCCGAAAAGATTAAATCTGTACGCTGGTCGGCATCGTGTCTTTTGACTAACGAAATGCCTAAATAATGCTGTTTTGTTTTAGTGGAAACGTTGCGATCTCTTAACGATTTTCTTTCGGTTTCACTGCACAATTTTTTTTGGGGGGTGCAAAGGACATGTTGAAGACGCGGGTTTTCCCCCGTCACTACGCGTTTGGAAAATATTTCTATACAGAATGACTCCTCAGTCGAGTCACTTACCATACAGTTGGAGTAGATGTGATTTTTTAAAGACAGGTCGACATCTAAGCATGTTCAGGAGATACAGTGCTGTGCAATTGCGTAAGTGACTTATCAATTTTCCAGTGTCAGATTAATTTCTTCAAAGTGCACTCAAATCTATTGTCCACAAACAATAGGGGGCTAGTCACGTCTCTGATCCATTTCTAGCTGGTTTCCAATAGGATCCCTTCCCTGGAAAGCTGACTGGATCCTGTTTCCCTCCTGTGATTTTGTTGTTGTTGTTCTTGGTTGCTGAATATCAAGTTCTAGCCAAGATTGGACGAATGCTACTTCCCAATTACCGTGAAGCAATTTTTATTCCCTGTGGCAGGGCAGCTAAAGTGAGAAGCAGAGAAAAATATAGTATTTTGACTGTTGTTGTAATTGAAGGATTCCATCATTTTTGTATCCACCATCTTGCCATGCACAGATTCTGGTCCAGATGATGAGTGGGTAAATCTGTAAGTGATGCAACTTTTCAGTGCAGCCTGTTCTTTCAGTATTCCCTTTTCCTTAGAAAAGTGCCCTTCGCCTAAGAGTGCTTAAGAAACTAACTTGGTTGATTCTTTCTACAAATGTATCTAATTATTCTGTCATGAAATTAGCAAATCTGTGCACTTTGCTAAGTATAAGATTTTATTCCAGTTTATCATTGTATTGAATTGATTTCCCATTTAGAACATTAAATTTCTGCTGCTTGCAGCTATAATCTTATGTTTGTTATTTTTAGAGTTTATTAACTTTTCTTCCCCAATCATCAGATGCCAGAGGTTGCAATTCCATCAGAATAGGTGGGAAATCTAAAATTTTTGGAAAAAAATTGAAATAGTTTACAAAGCACTTGCACAATGAATGGAATATTTGCAGGATGGCTTCTTTGGACTATTGAGAGAAGCCTGCAAAGGGACTATTGTTGCATCATCTTTATTTACAGTAACAGGAATTCACTGCATAGGAGGTCAAATTACAACCAGTATGGTATGCTGAGGTCACAAATAAAAGTGTCCAAAATGAATTCCTTGAACCCTGGCAATCTTGCCCATGAGGCTCAGGGAACTTAGACCATACTTTCTTATTTATTACCTCTCTTGAGGGTTATGAAGCACTGTTTTTAAGACTATTACTTCATTTGAAGGAGGGTGTGAATCCTAAATCAGGCCACTAGGATCTGTTAGTATCAATAACTTGTGATACCTGCAAATCAGTGGTGTTGTGTGTAAGTTATCACAAACTACCTTTAATTTTGTTACTTTTTAAGAAATCTCATAGACAATCAAGAAAAGAAATAATTGCTTAACTTTATTGCATGTAGCATAAGAAAATAAGATCACTCAAGTAAGAAAGTTAAGCCTCACGACTCAACTTGCTATTACCCAATTAATGGTGGAATTTACCTACGATTCCAACCATCAGCGTCTGTCTCTGGATGCCCAAGATTTGATCCTTGTGCAGTGTGGTTCTCCAGAGTTCTGCTGCTGAAGAATCCTGAAGTTGAATTCTTACAGGATTTTCTGCCTTGTCAAGTTTGTGATGTGGCATTATTAATGATCCTTTAGATCTGTTCATCCCACGAGTTTGACTGATTTCCATTTAGTTTAAGCTGTTTTCAAACGTTTAATGTCCTTGTCCCTTTTATCTCAGGAAACAGTTTATTCCAGAAAGAGTTATTGCTAATTCATTCAATCCCTCAACAGTTATTAAAGTTCTGAAGTTTACAGTATCACAGTGGGTATGTGTGATGTAAGGATTTATGTGACTCCAATGATACCCTCCAATTTAAAGGCCTGGATGAGCTTTGTCAGTTTGTTTGCTAATTTTACGTTTTAAATGTTGTACATTTCTTCTTTCCGTACATCATCTTCATTTGGTTTCTTGACATTGTGGAGGCCAGAACAATTCAGCCCACGAATATGTCCGCTGAGGTTGTAGTATCATCTCTTGCCCTTTGGCAATATATTTGAGTTTCAAAAGACATGCCATTCCTCAAAATTTTTTTCTTATCTCTAGGTGACTCAGCTGAGACTATCAATATTAGTTCTTTAACGGGGAGAAAATATGGGAGCTCTTAATCAGAACTCACATCATATGAGTTAATTAGCAGTGTCTGGATTATATCGGTTGCTTTTAATGCTCTGCTTCCAGGCATTCTTATATTTTTGGCTGACTGAGAAAAATCAAATGTAGTGATGCTGATGCCAGTGGTTATACTGTGGATTCATTGTGAAAAGTTTCCATATAGGTCGCTTTAGAGCAGCACTGCCTTTCCCAAAGTGTGTCCCTCGGGCTGGAATCTGTCGGGAAGCTGTAATACTCTTTAGGATTGGCTCATGCTAGAAGTAATTGATCGACAAAGCTTCATCATAACTTTGGCTTTTGTTTGAGTTTTGCCATTCTTTAGATTGATCCTTTGTGCTATCACTGCTCCCTGCTGTCCCATGGGTTTGACTAAAGTTGACAAATTTCCATTTAGTTTGACCTGTTTTCACATGTTTAATGCACCTTTTACAGGGCTGACTTTAGTCAGGTGTCAGTGTTGGTCAAGAACAGATGCTGGTTGTATAATTGTGGACCCAGTTCTCAGCACTCTTGTGACAGTTATTTCTGTCTCTCTCTCTCTCACACACACACACACACACACACACATAACAGCATACTCTCAATCAGATGATTAATGACAGTGAATTTCACTTTATTTCCATTGTAAGATTGGTGTATTAATTTTCCCAGTACAGTACACTGCAATATCAGAAATCATAAGGTGCAATTTACTGTTATTAACTTTGACAAGTTTGGAGGCTGGGGCATTTAACTGGGGAGGAGGATGCAAGGTGGGTATCCCACTACTTTCCTGCTCTGCCCTGATTAAGTTTGGGGCAGGGCTGTTATACGATAGAAGATAAGGCGTCTTAAATATAATCCAAATTTACACTTTTAGTGAGAGCATTCTCAGTTAACCATGCTCTGTAAAACTCACACCGTATTAATTACTAGCTTCTCATATTGGTACAGCCAATTCACAACCAAATAACCATAAATTAACATATCCATTACCTGTTCCCTCATTCCATTAGGTCTCAGGCATTCCTTTCAACTGTATTAAATTGTAGCAAAGGCTTGTGAATGGCTTTCTTGCCCGGTGCCAATTTAGGCCCTTAAGTGAGCATTTATTGAGTTGACTCACTATGGGGCCTTATCTCACTGCTGCTGATATTCATGCTTGTTTACAGGCCCCCAGATGGAATTTCCTTTTTGTCAGGCACTTGATAACTGATTGAGGGGCCTAGCATCTGCTGAAAACTAGCCCAGGCCTTTCTTCTAACCTTCATCCCTGGCAGACTACCTGTGATCCATGTGACCTCCATCCTACCCTGTCTTTGGGGTGCCTCGCTGATTCTTGACCTCTAGTGGGTGCATTGCTGGTAGCTATCACAGCTCTCCTTGCTTCTGATTGGCTAGCAGCTCTAGAGGAGTGGATTCCCCCCACCCCACCGCAGGTCCTTGATCACAGGTGAAGGCTCTTCGTTGGCAGCTGGAAGTACCTAATTGCTATGTAATAAGGCAGGCCTTTCCCAACAGAGAAGGTGTGGGGCTCTCACTGACTCTCGAGCCAGCAACGAAGAACACTGTTGCCTGGAATAAATTCTGCCCATACTCCACGAAGGCAAAGTGACCCATCAATGGTCGATGGAACTGAGACAGTCACACACACAACAAAAACAGCATTATGCTACAGTTTGTATTTGGAATAAACCTATGAACCTTAATGTTTTCATAAAAATGATTTGTATTTATATATCATATTTAATGTAGAAATGTGCCCTACTATGCATCACAAGTTACCTGACGAGAATGAAAGTTAAGACAAAGGAAGGCATTAATAGAGGGGCCAAAAGCCTGGTTGAGGTTTTGAAGGGAGGACAATGAAGTGGAGAGATATCGGGAGAGAATTCCAGAATGACTGTTAGAAGGCCTAAGGCAAGACCACCAATATTGAGCAAGTAAGGATGCACAAAAAGAGAGAGGAACAGAAAGTTTGGAGGTGTGAGAGGGAGGGACTGGTGGTCATAGTAGTAGGGCTGGAAGAGGCATAGGGTGAGGCAATATCAGGATGGAATTGAAACACAAGAATGGGAACCTGGGAACTTGGGGTACTACAGTTGGAGAAATAGATAGGCTAATGTTTGAAAAGTTGAGCCTCAAGATGAAAGAAGCATAAATAAGGGGCTTCAACAGCAAGTTAGCAGATGCAGGTGGTATTGTGGAGTTGGATGCAGGTGGTAATTTTGATGAAGAGGATGTGAGATCAGAAGCTCAAAAGCCTGCATGACTAGGTTTATTTATGGCAAATTCCTGTCAAATGTACACCTCAACAGACTTCATGCTTGCAGTTTTTCTCGGCCTTTATTGATGACCTATCTGCTGTTGGATATTTATAGAACTGAGATAGACTGCTTTTC